TTTACTATGCTGCTGCCTTTGAACAGCAGAGTCTCACTTCCAGAAAGACTGTATTATAAAACACCCTTGAGGTGAACTTCACCAAAATTTATGCTCTGCTTACAAGCTGTGTATATATTGCCCTGTATGATTTTTTTATGTATTTGTGCAAGGAGGTAGCAATATTGTATGACTTATGTTCTGAAACCAAAGAGTGACCAATTAGACACCTGAAAGGAATTAGTTCAAGGAGCTAGAGTGATAGTACAGCAGATAGGACTTGCATGCAATCAACCAGGTTTCTAGCCCCAGCATCCCATGTGGTCCCTGGAGCCTACCAGGAGTAATTCTTGGGCAAAAAGCCAGAAGTGATCCCAGAGAATTACCAGGTATGGTCCAAAATGCAAGAAAAAATAAGAGAACGTGTAACTAAGTTATGATAGCTATGGTTTATTTGTTCTTAAAAATCCATCTTGACATTCAGCCCTTAGCACAAGTGATCTTCCTGATCACTGCAGTGATAGTAAAACTTGGGTTTACATAAAGCAAAAGTAGTGCCGTTTTAGAAAAAGATATCTGAGACTATAAACACAAAGCAAATATATGGCAAAATAATTTCCTATAACAACTAATAAAGATATTTAAAATAGCATAGAACAATTTCCATGACCTGAAGACCACTCTAGGTATCTTTCATTTTTTGGCAGTGAGTGGGGATTACTAGGGGATACTGGGCTACACTAGCAGTGCTCAGGGCTTACTCTTGGCTTCATGCTCTTGGGTTACACATGAGTGCCAATATTGAACTAGAGTCAGCTTCATGTTGGGTATGCACCCTAACCCCAGTACATTTCCAGTCCCTAGTTTAATCTCTATCTATCTCTATCTCTATCTCTCTTTTAAATGGTACTCAGGGATTACTCCTGACTCTGTGCTCTAGGATCACTCCTAGGGGGAGTTGGGGAATCATAGGGGTGACAGGGATCATCAAATTCAAGTTGGCTGCTTGCCAGGCAAGCAGACTACCACTGTGCTATCACTCTAGCCTCTCAAAACAATCTTTATAAAGGTGAATGTGAATGAAAGTTTGTGTCGTGCAAATAAAAAATAGAGAAAGTGGAGCCCTGCAGTCTGGTTAGGAAATGACAGGCTCTGTCACAGTTAGGGCACTGCAGAGCTGTCTGTAAGAAGGACAGTGTTTACCTGGCATGTTAGTCCATGGGTATTGGATCAGAAATCCTTTATTTAAAAGAGGAGAAATACTGAATCCAGATAGAAAAAGATAGTTCCAAGGATTAAGGAGAAAAGCCAAAAGAGAGTGGAGATCACAGATAGAGTTTAATAATTAAATGATAGTGGGCACCAAAATATTAAAATTTGTCAATAACAACTCTAACCAATAGATCACAACAGTGGGATAGCTTTTGTTTCACTACAAGAAAGATATCAACAGTAGGGGAAAAAAGGAGTGAAGAAAATGCTTCCTCTCTGAGCACTGTTGAGAAATATTTAAAAGGAACAGTTTGAGTTGGCATTAGAAGGAATCTAAAGAGGACAGGTCAAAAAAAAATGAAGAGGACAGGTCTGGAAGGTAGAGGAAGGGTAGAGAAAGGCATAGAATGTATAAGCCATGAGTTTAGTCTCTGGCATTTTATCGCCCCCCAAGCACCATTGGGTGTGGCCCCCCAAAAATATAATAAAATATAATTCATAATGAGTATTTTCAATGAAGGTATTTAATGAGGGCTTTGTGTTAAATCTTAGAGATGCTGTGAAATCCTTGCAACAGCTATGTTCCTTTAAGGCATTTTACATCTCTAAGACTAATTGAAAAACAAAGGAAAACCATTTGGGGGGCATGTGCAACTATATTCATGTGTAATTAAAATCAAAGGCATTTTAGTTCCATGGCCTTTTTAATCAAATATCAAAACTGGTGTTTCTCCATCAGCGTATTGACTGCATCAGTGGTGCAGAGATAAGCTGAACTTTGTTATTTGTGTTCCAATCTGCTTTCCTGTGTTCAGTAGGATACTTTCTTTATCATGAACTTGTAACCCTTCCTCTACCCATTTCTCATTGGTCTGCCTTTTCCTCCCAGTTTTCAAACTCTGATCCTAGCTATGGTCCTCTGATTCTTGATTCTCTAGTCCCTCATCTCCCTTTTTGTTCTCTCTTTGAAGACTCTCCTCTTCCTCTTTTTAAAAATTTATTTACCATTTGTTTACATTAGGGCTGGAGCGATAGCACAGCAGTAGGGCATTTGCGTTGCACACAGCCAGCCCTCTTGGAGAGCCGGGCAAGCTACCGAGAGTATCTTGCCCACAGGGCAAAGCCTGGAAAGCTACCCGTGATGTGTTCAGTATGCCAAACACAGTAACAGCAAGTCTCACGATGGAGACGTTACTGGGCCAGCTCAAGCAAATCAATGAATAATGGAAGGACAGTGTTTGTGTTTTTGTTTGTTTGTTTACATTATAGAATTTCAGGGTATAGATTAATAGGCCACTGCCAAATTACTGGTGTTATACACAACCAAAAAAACACCTTCCACCCACCACCCATGAATTCCTCCTATGAACTCATTTTTCCTCCAGTAATCACTGAGGAGTTAGCTATATTTTTTCCTCTTTGCCAGTTCACTTCACTGTCCTCCCATTGTTCATCGATTTGCTCGAGTGGGCCCAGTAACGTCTCCATTGGAGACTTTGTTGTTACTGTGTTTGGCATATCGAATACGTCACGGGTAACTTGCCAGGCTCTGCCGTGCGGGCAAGATACTCTCGGTAGCTTGCCAGGCTCTCCAAGAGGGGCGGAGGAATCGAACTCAGGTTGGCCATGTTGGCTGCGTGCAAGGCAAACGCCCTGCTGCTGTGCTATCGCTCCAGCTGAGGTGGCCGAGTGGTTAAGGCCAGTTCACTTACTTTAGCTATTTATATTCTGTGAAACATTTCAGTAATTTCCCTTCTCTCCCTTACTTCTTTTACTTAGCATGGTCACCTCATAAAAGCATTCTTAAGTTCTCTCTATTATGTCATAGAGGTTTGATTATTAAAGTCTGGGCAGCCTCATTGCAGAGGGCTTGATTTTGGAAGTCACACTTTGCTTTTGAATTTTATGTGTCCTTGAAATTAAGCTTATAACTAGACAAAATTATTTTAGACCAGTAATTGCAGAGAAATCATAAGACACAATGTAGGGGGTGGATACCTACAATATGATGAACACTTCTTAGCCCTGAGGACTAACACATCACCCATGAAGATCAACTTGCCTGACTTTGTGGGACTTTCACAAAGAGAAACCAGCCCAACACATGTAAGAAAGACAAATACATTAAGATATTTCAGAAAGAGTTCAGTGCTACAGAACACACATAAGAACAAATAAATGTAAAATTGAGGAGCGGGGATGTGTTTTAGCATTTGTCTGGGAAACTGACCCATAGACAGTGACATTGGCCCAATGTGAAGAATAATGAGATGGAGAGAAATGAACACGGAAATGGGAACAATCAAGATTCTGAGTTTCTTTGAAAGAGAAAGATATGACCAGTATGGGACTAGTCTTGAAAGTAAGGAAAGACATTGTGGAAGATGAGGCAGTTGAAATAGATGGGGAAATAGGTCGTGGGCATTTCTGTAGCCCTTGCTGAAATCATTGAGTGTATTTCCAAAAGTAATCAATCAAAAACTTTGCACAGAAAACTGATTACTAAAAAATTTCTACCTTCTAGATGCATGATGCAGGAACAAACACTATGGATATTCTTCCCCCCTTACCCCCACACCACCCAAGCAATGCTTAAGAAGGCCCAGAAATCCTATGCAGCTCTAGTTAGCCAACCATGCCAAATGCTTCAGTGCCTGGTCATGGCAGTGCAGTGATGCTTAGATACAGCAGCACTGGGACTGCTGGGGAGCACTTTCAGTGATGCTCAGGGGCTATTCAGTGCCAAGGATCAAATTCGGAGTCTTGGGTGGAAGCATGTGCTCTAGCCCTTTGAAGAGTTTCTCCAACCCCAAGAATCATTTTCATATTAAAAGTGCACTAGGATAAATGTCTCATAGCTTGAATCTTTTAAATGAAGAACAAGAGTGGTATTTTCATTCAAACAGATATTTCTATAACTGAACCATTAAGGAGTAAAATTCCCAATAAATTAAGTGACCTGCATCAAAACGTGTCATTAGCAGTTCTAATTATCTAAATTTTTGTAATTAAGGATGGTTTCATTAGTTTAGCAGCAGTTGGTTTTTTGCTCTTCTCAATAGTTTGTAGTGTGCTCTCACCAGATGTTACTCTTACTATCTGAATGAAAATAAATTCAGGTGACATTATAGGTCATAGTTGTCATTGATTCCAAATCTATTTATTCTCAAACCCCTCATCAACAAAGCTAGCATCTGTTGGGAAGAAAATCACCCCAGTTTTTAGTGGTACATGTTATTTCCTCACTCAAGTTCTGTCACTGCTGTATTACGCTGTAAGTATAGAATTGTTTTCTTTTATTTTTCCATTAAAATGTTACCACTTAGGAATTTAATTTCTGTGTGGTTATAACCTCATACCTTTGACTAATAATAGTAGAACGTACCCAGACAGCATGGCCATTTCAATATTGGATTACAGATCATTTTAGAGGTGCTTAGTTTTTCACTCTGGTCCTGTCCAAGGTGTCTGGACCTATTGGTAGACTGCATCCATGAAAAAGTAACTTGGTATTGTGGTGTTCTATCTCAGCCAATTACTAATTGGTACTAACTACAACTTCAGATGCTATATTTACTTTCTCCATCTCTCATATGTTCTTCTTGTGTATCTGGGACAGGTAAAACTGATAAAATTAGAAGCCTTGCAAAAAAAAATGAAGTTCTTAATATTTTGTGCTTTGTAAGATAGGTATGGATTTCCAAGTATGTTTCATTTCTTGATATTTCAGTCATCATTTTGAAGCAGCTCAGAAGTTGTCTTGCTATCCATAGCAGCCAGTAGTATAAATTGCTTTATTTTCCTTCCAGGAAATGCTTCCAGACTGCACACTTTTATTTAGAAGACAGTACATCTCCTCGAGTAATATCCACACCTCCAACACCTATATTTCCAATTTCAGGTAATAGCTTAAAGTGTGACCATGAGTAGTAGCTGACTGACAGAGAACAAAAAACATGATACTGGAAGTTTTTCTTATCAGAGCATTGTGTAAAAGTTATAATATAGATTAGTAAATATGCATGTTATTCAAAATATTTGTTACATCATCTATCAGGATCCTATGTTTATTCTTTGTATTATGTTTAAATGTTCTCAGTCTTAAAGATGATACGACATAATAATTTTTAATCATGAAGTAAAGTAAAAATAATGGCTGGAGCGATAGCACAGCAGTAAGGCATTTGCCTTGCATGCGTCCGACCAGCCGACCTGAGTTCAATTCCTCTGCCCCTCTTGGAGAACCTGGCAAGCTACCGAGAGTATCTCACCTGGCAAAGCCTGGCAAGCGACCCGTGACATATTCATATGCCAAACACAGTAACAAGAAGTCTCACGATGGAGACGTTAGTAGGCCCTCTCCGTATTCATATGCCAAACACAGTAACAAGAAGTCTCACTATGGAGACGTGACTGGGCTACTCGAGCAAACCAATGAACAACGGGAGGATAGTGCTACAGTGCTAGTGCTAGCTGCTATAGTGCAGTAAAGTAATATAAGCACCGTAGCTATAAAGCATTAGTTATCGTTCATGAATTTCAGTTCATTTCCATATTCCTTTCTATGTACTTTCAGTGAAAATTTGGATAACGGAAAACTAAATCTATGTGCTAAGTGTAGATAGGAGAAAATAAAAACACACAAAAAATTTAGGTCCTTGACAGTCATCTGAATCAATGTTTTCTTACCTATTTTTGAAGGGGAAACATCTCTAAAATTATGGGGGTAGAAGTAAAACATGAGCCTAAAGATTAGCTGAAAAGACTCCACATCAAAATGTTAAAAAATTTGCATGGAACTAGATGGTATTGTGTTAAGCAAAATAAGTCAGAGGGAAAAAGAATAATGCCAGATGATCTCACTAGTGTCGTATATAAACAAGGCAAGGGAATGGACAATATCCAGTGAAAACAAGCCCTTGGACTCTGACATCAGAACAGAGGTGACCAAGTTCAAAATTACTACGTGAAAGAGAGGGAGGAGAATGATGGGGGAAGGGTTGGGAAAGACTGAAGTTGACACAAATCGTAGTCTTTGGGTGGTTGTTGGCACTTTGGTGGTGATGAAAATATGGTGACTTTATACATTAGCACCAATGTAACTGCTACCTCAATAATAATTTTTAAAAATTTTAATGTGGAACAATTGAAGACCTGAGAAGACAATAAAATTTTAACAGAACTTACCTAGTTAACAACATTCAAAAGTTTTCAGGGTCATTGTGATAAAAACATTCTTTGGCCCTAGGGTTCACATTGTAACCAAGATAACAATTATTACTTTTGAACATTTCATATTAAAAACTTAGAACAATAAAGGAACTACCTAGGAAATTGTGAGCTACAAGTTTGCTAGAGAAAAAAGAGAAAGATATGGGAATTCACCGAAACGTAGAAAACAAAAGGAAAAATTCATCTCTGTATTTTAAAATTGTCTGATATCCCATATATTATTTCTGAGGGCCCAAATTTTACATGCTATCAACATGAAATCTCAGGGGGGGAAAGATGGGTATGTTCTTTATAATTAGAATTTTTTTTGTTTTTTTCTCTATCAACTCTATGTCCTTTACCACCACTGTTTTATTTATTTTTATTATTTGTTTGAAAATTCTGTACATATTAGCACAACATAATTTCTCATTTCATACTTAAAAATTTGAGACTGATGGTAATCTGTTGCATTATTATTCCCCACACTTTCTAACATACTTTTACATCCTGTCAACATGGATAGGCAAGTTAGTCATAGTATTATCCAAATCCAAACATAGTTTATTACTAATGATAACTAAAATAATATGTAATCAAAATCTTGTTCAGAAAATTCAAAATAGCTTGTTTTCACTTCTCAGAAGAGGAATCATCAAAGTTGTTTATTCATTCACTTGTTTGACTCTCAACGATGAACTCTAGCTCACTTAAATGTTCACATTTCCATGGAAGGTCAGAAAATGGAAAGACAAGTGAATATCATCATAGTCTCATCAGTTCATAAATTACCAAATACCATTCTTTAAATAAAAAAATTGTTAGTTTACTAGTGAGAAAAGATTAGTTGCTCAGGACAGTATCGATGGGTTTGAAGGACATTTCTAGAACTAATGATTAAGATGTGACAAATTATTTCTGTTTTCTTATCTAATTATAAAAGCTTCTTCAAGGCAAGATTCTTCTAAAGGTGTGAAGATAGAATTACACCTTTGTCTAGTGCTTATTCAGCCTTACAGGCTAATTCAATTTTAGTATTCAGGTACACTCATCTAAGAGAGAGAACAGATGGATTCTGATTTTTTTCTAAATCAGCTAATGCTTGGTAACTGAAGCTTTAAAATATTAAATGGCCTAGATGTTGAACATCTGTTGATGTAAATAACTTGTTTCTAGTGAAATGTGTTTGATGTTTCCTTGTCAGAGAAATCACTTGTGAAATTGCATACTGTGAACTAGTAATATGTTTAATCTAAGAAAGATTTTTTTTTCAGGGAAAGGTGAAGGGGAAAGAATAGTTAAAATAATTTGGCCCCTTCACGATTAATTAACAGTTCCAATGACTTTGTTTACATAGCATATCTTCGAGTTAGAATTCTTAAAATTTTATAAATTAGAAGTTCTAAAGGTTTTCAACATTGTCTTTAATGATTATTCTACATCTAAATGTTTTCTATTTTTTTATGGCAAAGAAAAAATGTTTTCAAATCTGACTATTTGTAAGGCAGACTTCAGTTTCAAAAACTGAACTAGCGGACTATCAAATATGGCCCCTATACAATTGGAAATATACTAGTTCAGCATTTTCCCCCCAGAATTTATATGCAGCTGCCAATCATGTTAATGAAAGTTATCTAGACAGACCTGTTCAAGGATGGGACATAGCTCAGCACATGCCTTGAATGTGTGAGACCCTGGGTTTGATCCTCCTGGCACCACAAGAAAAGGAAGAGATACAGTCCATTGATAAGTGAGATCTTGGTGGTATTTATGAATTAACATTGAAATTTAATTTTCTCTTTAGAGTCTAAAAGGAAGGCTGCTGATCAAAATAGATTTCTCTATGCAGGGTTATTATTACTAGTAAATATTGAGAAATTAATAGTTGTTAATTGTTTTATTGAGTAGCTGACAGTCTGTAGAAATTATAGGAATAATTGTAACTTTGAGATTATTTAGAAGCATCTTATAAATATTTAAAAGTGATAGCATATTTATTTTGTTGAATTGTCCTTTCCAACCTAGTTTTTTTTTTTAATTCACTTAGATGATGTTGGAGCAATTCCAATAAAGCACTTTCCAAAGCATGTTGCAGATTTACATGCAAGTAGTGGGTTTACTGAAGAATTTGAGGTATGATATTAAGATATTTAATTATAGACTATAGAATGTAATTTTTAAAATTCAGCAGTAGATTATTTCCTGACATAGTCATTGAAATCATTTTCACGTCTAGCCAGAATATTAGATCCATAATCATTTATGTGTTTAGAAAATATGTTATGTTTATCATATAATTTAGAAAATTGGTTTTTCACTATAAATGCCAGATTGTACTAATGGGGAAATTAAAAAAGTGTTATTCTCTCCAAATATATGGATCCCAGAATTTTGAAAAAGAAATTTGAATTAGTAATCCTGCCTCTTTTTAATTTTCTAAATTATATAAATTATATACTAAACCACTAAATTTCATGATTTTCAGCACATATAAAAGTACATTTAAGCTCTTAGTTTTAAGTATTTCAATGTAAATGCTGAAACATTTATATAACATTTTTAATACACAAGATAAAATCCCAACTTCTCAAGAAAATTTCTCTTAATTAATGGAATTCACCATCAGTGAAATTTTTTTTAGTCCTTTACTGTTTAATGTTTAAACTTAAAGCATTAATATTTAAATAATTTTAGAGAAGGAGCAGGGAAGTTCACCACAAATTTAAGGCAGCCTTGTGAACTCTAAGTTAAATGGATTTTTTTCAGTATAGGGTACCAAAACTTTAGAATTAGCATCAGCAGCCACAAAACCTAATAGGAACTGTTATTGAGCACTCTTTAATGTGCTGGTCCTTGTATTAAATTCTTCCACATACAAACTTCACCCAAGCTGGAAATGATTTATTTCACATTTTACTCATATTACTGATGAAAAGCATTTTCATTGATTAACAACTAATGAGTATGGAACAGGAATTCTATCCAAAGCCTGTAATTTTAAAAATCCATGTCTTTCCATCCTTCCCTCTCTCTGCTGACCCCTCCCTGCATGAAGACTCTGAACCTTTCCGCCATTTCCTTTGCCCAAGCTTCTCAAGTACTTTATGCATCTCCTACTTGAAGTACTTTGACCTTTGACCCTGACCTGGATGGATTGTACCACTAATTTCCTTGCATCTAATTTTAATTAATGCTTGCCTGTAATCACATCCTCCAAGACACAGAGTAGGGAAAAACCATAGATTTGTTATCATTAGGTAAGGCCCACATAAAGTGAAATAATATATAGACTTACAGACTAAAATGACAAGACTATCTATTCTTAACTAATCTGGAGCCCTCTTTGTGGTTTAATACAAAAACTATTAGGCACACATCAAACAAAATCATAATAGTGAGAAAATGTGTCAAGGATGGGGCTCAATTTAAATATTTCCCAAGGTTAAATGGACAATTTATATTAATAAAGTTGCTAATAGGTATCGCCAAAGCATTGTACTTTTCACAACAATAAAATCTTTATATGATCTAACAGTGCATGTTAATGAACTTCATAAAATTACCTCACATTTTAATTTTAAAAAGTTGTAATTCCAGTATTTTTAACTCAGTATGATTTAAGAGAATTTTTTATTAACATAAGAATTGGATTAATAATTAATAATGCTGTATTTTTTAAGTGGTCCTTGTATTAACTTGTTTGTAATTCAAGAGCCAGAATTAGGTCTACAACAAAGGTCTTAAAAACTTGAGAAGAGAGATTGGGCCATTTTCTGATTAAAAGAATCATATTTGAGTTATACATTTTCTCAAAAACTATAATCTTAATTAAATAATTACAAATCCCAAAGTAAAATGTTTATATAGAAAATATATCAGAAAAGAAGTATTATTGATTGATAAAAAAGACTGTTTTCATATTCATCAATGTTCAGAAAAAATATTGGTAAAGCTTATCATTTTCTTTCTAAATTTTGTTAAAACTAATTATATATCTCTATTAAAACTTTAGAATATTTATAATGTCTAAGCATGACTGCCCTTAATTAATTGTTATAAACAACCTAATAGGAAGCTTTTTCTATTTCAAATTATTCTGGAAAAAAATACCAAAAAAACCTCACTAATTTATAGTTTCAAATAGTGCTCCAGTGGTCAAAGAAAATTTTATTTAGTTACCAGTAAGTCCAACAAGTGTGAGCAACAAACATTTCTTTTTATTATTTCAATTTAAGAATTTTGTATTATTGTATTTCTGTGTCCTTTAAATATTATTTTATTACATATAAATGTAAGATTCCAAATTGTTAGATGTTTTGATTTGCATGCAGCTGTTTGAAACATTCTTGTTTTGTTAGTATTTGACAAATGTATTTATTGCATGATCATAGTTTTCCATTGTAAACCTAATATGAACGCTTTTTTTTCTCATTTGTCGTGTGCTGTGGAATTTGATTTCTTTACTTTTTTGGCATTCATTCCCTCATTAGACACTGAAAGAGTTTTACCAGGTAAGGCATTATTTCACTGCATTTTCTTTTAGCCAAGACCATAGTTGTAACATATTTAAATTTTTTATATAAATTATTTTATTTTGTCCTCATCATTATATTTAAGTCCCTTTATTTGAAAGGATGCATTTTTTTAAAAAAGTATACCTACAATGTTTTTACAGGAAGTGCAGAGCTGTACTGTTGATTTAGGTATTACAGCAGACAGCTCCAACCATCCAGACAATAAACACAAGAACCGATACATAAATATCGTTGCCTGTAAGTATAGCCTTTAATCATCCTTGACTTCTTTGCTATTGCTGTGCTCTTTGTTTTTTCTCCGTGCTGGCAGTCAAACACAGTTGTGAGTCAAACTCACAACTGCAATGTATGTACTCTGCCGCTGTGCCAGATTCCCCACTGTGTGGCCTGGGTACACCTACCCACTCCATGATCATAAACAATGGAACAGCACACATTGCTTCTGAAGAGGAACATCCATTCTTCAGCACTCTGTGGTTCTTCAAATATGCAGGCCTTGGATGGGCCTTCAGGGTTTCCCAAGTAGCATTTAAGTGAACAGAAAGATTTGAACCTCTAGATTTGCATGATATTGTAGTTTTTTTTGGGGGGGGGTCACACCTGGCGATGCACAGGGGTTACTCCTGGCTCTGCATTCAGGAATTACTCCTGGCAATGCTCAAGGATGCTGGGAATCGAACCTGGGTCGGCCACGTGCAAGGCAAGCACCCTACCCACTGTGCTATCGCTCCAGCCCTGTAGGGTTTTTTGGATCAAGGAAATAGTGAACTATTTTGAGAACACCTAGAAGGGAGCAGTGTTTCTGTCAATAATGCACATTTGCAGTGTCAAAAACAGTTGGCAGGCATTGAATGCTGTCAGAAGCTGACCAGAGCGTCGTTGTTTGTATGATGAATCCAAAGGTGTCCTAAAAAATGGATCATCACAGCCAGAACCCTTTTCTAATGAGAGCTTAACCAGTGAGGGCTGTTTCCATTCCTTTTATTAGGGTTTATGTTGTTACAGCCCTCCTGTAGAACCTCATTATAGATAACCAATTTAGGATCCCACCTCTGTGAAAATGTTTGTTTAGTTGTTTAGTGAAGGTAGTTTTTACTGAAAGTTACTTAGAAAGATGTGAAAGGAAAGAAAAGCAGAAGTATGCCTTCAAGAGAGAACAAAAGCTTCTCCAAAGTGGAAACAGACAAGCAAAGCAGCATAGAGACAAGCAAGCAAAAATCCTTGTTCAAGGAAGAGCACGGGCTTGAAGAGCAAGCCAAAAATATTTGTTATCCCAAATCAATAGCACTTCGGATTTTTTGTGTTCCCCTCACCACTTGAACTTTCTATTGATGCTTGTACATTATTTTCTGTGTTGTATTCCTCTCACACCTTCTATGTTTGAAACCCTCTTCAAGACAGAGGCTCTTATTATCTGTAACTTTATCATGTTCATATCTGTATATCTGTATTCCACCAAAGCCTATGTAAGTAAGCGATTTTTTGTAATGATTGAAATTGTATTTGGTTAGTTTTTATATAAATGGCTTTTGTGTTAAAATGTAGTGCATGCTATAGTGAATTTTTTTTTCTTTTGTTACAGATGATCATAGTAGGGTTAAGCTTGCACAACTTGCTGAAAAAGATGGCAAACTGACTGATTATATCAACGCCAATTATGTTGATGTGAGCATGATTTAATTGAATTTTTATGGAAATTATAGAAATTTTTATACAGCTATGCTACATATATACTAATTCCTAAAAACTTTGTGTACCAGATATAAATATCCAATGGGTTTCCTATGTGCAACCACCTCATTGAAGAGGAAGCCAAAAATATTTGTTATCCCAAATCAATAGCACTTCAGATTTTTTTGTGTTCCCCCCACCACTTGAACTTTCTATTTATGCTTGTACATTTTTGTTATGTATTCTTCTCACACCTTCTATGTTAGAAACTCAAAAAGATCCATATGTATATATGTGATCAGGCATGATCTTCAGAGTTAGAAATTGTTTTGAATTCTAGTTCTGCCATCAACTAGTCATGGGAGCTTGAAAGTCACTTCACTCCTCTCCAATGATCTCATCTCCATTTTAAGTATAATACATCCATTTTACATAGGTCAAGAATTAAGTTCAATGTATATAAAGTATGTTGGCTAACAATAGTCAATGGTATCACCAAGCACCATAGGAGTTAATGCCAGAGATTTCCAAATGGCTGTGGACAACTAGGCCCAAGTCCTAAAACATATTTTCATTAAATGGAACTAAGCACTAGATAGAAAGGATACAAGATAGCTTTGTATTAAATGCACTTAGACCAAAGATGATGAGAATTATGCTTATGTCAGAGAAAGAGAGCTTTTCTTGGTATAAAATTGGAAAGTTAAGAGGTGTTTCTGTCTTTGTTAATATTATTTTCTCCAGCTCTGTGCGTTTACTTTATGATTTTATTTTATTTTTTTATGATTTTATTTTATATAAAAAATGTACTGAACATTAAAGCTTAAGCATGATACAGTTAAAAGTAACCAATTATTCAGTTAGTAAGAACCATTTGTCACTTGCCTCTGCAGGGGTACAACAGACCAAAAGCTTACATTGCTGCCCAAGGACCGCTGAAATCCACAGCTGAAGACTTCTGGAGAATGATATGGGAGCATAATGTGGAAGTTATTATCATGATAACCAACCTGGTAGAGAAAGGAAGGGTATGAAAAAAAATGTTACATGTCCTTCAGAGTAATGATTTATAATGTTTTTCATTGCTTTTTGTAGCATAAGTATTAGGAAGCAGCAAAGCTTTTGAAAACTTTGTGAAGTAAGGAATTCTGTCAAAGAAGTATGACTGCTGAAGGGATATTCACATTATAGGTCAAAAACTTTTCAATGAAAGTCAAGCTATTGCTGAAATATATTTTTCACAGTGGGAAAAACAGTAAATATGTTGTATAATGAAATCCTTAAATCACAGGACCTGGATTCTCATATTGACTCTATAATGACTCGTTACATCTGATCTCACTTCTGTTATCTGATATAGGAACATTTGGGTCAGCGTATCTCAAGTCGCTTTTAGCCCTGTGAAAATATTCATGTACATGAATGCAAATACATGCGTGTGTGTGGAGAGGAGAGAGAGAGCGAGAGAGAGAGAGAGAGAGAGAGAGTATGGTTTCCTCTAATCTGTGATTACTGATACTGAAAATGGAGAAAAATAAAAAATTTTTTACTAGAAAATTAAGATAGTGTCTTACTGTCCTGTTCTCAGACCTTGGCTAAGACAATTTCAGAGACAATGCTTGAATTGAGCTTTTGAAATAAGGAAATAGCACCTTTTTACTTTCTCTTTTGCAGAGAAAATGTGACCAGTACTGGCCTGTGGATGGTAGTGAAGAGTATGGAAACTTTCTGGTCACTCAGAAAAGTGTCCAAATTCTTGCTTATTATACTGTGAGGTATTTTACTCTAAGAAACACAAAAATTAAAAAGGTAAGTCCACAACATATGGGCACTGTTGTTTAAGTAAAAACTTCTGGTCCTGTTTAAGGAATGGGTGGTATAAACAAGACAGGTAAAATATATATAACTAAGATCTTTACAATTCACATCACAGTTTTACCTCAATCCCAAAGGTTTCTTGCAATTCTCTCCATGACCACCTGGCTTGGGCGCCAAATTGTTACAGTAGTTGTGACAAGCAAACAAGAATTCCTAAACTCTGTGATGGATACATATTCAATAACAACATTTGAGACTGAAATAAGAGAAGGGAAACACAAACAGAGCAATGATATATTCTACTCATGGTTCTCCAGAGAAATAGAAGCAGTAGTTGTGGGATGGGGGAGAGATTGGGATTGAGGGAGCGAGAGAGACTGAAACACAGAAACAGATTTTTTTTTTTTTTTTTGCTTTTTGGGTCACACCCGGCAATGCACAGGGTTTATTCCTGGCCCGTGCACTCAGGAATTACTCCTGGCAGTGCTTGGGGGACCATATGGGATTCTGGGAATTGAACCCGGGTCAGCAGCATGCAAGGCAAATGCCCTACCCACTGCACTATTGCTCCAGCCCCAAAGACAGAGATTTTAAGGACATGGTTGTGTGAGTTACATATCCTGAATTCATAGGCAGGCCTGCAGCCTAATAGTTAAGCAAGAGTTGGTGCAGATCTTTGTCCAATCAGAACAGCAGTTTAGAAACAGGGTTTCTATGTTTCAGTCTTAAGGGTAATTCCTGGGGGGGTTGTTTTAGAGTCACACCCAGCAATGCTCAGGGGTACTCCTGGCTCTGCACTAGGAATTACTCCTGGTAATGCTCGGGGGGTCTTATGGGATGCCAGGGATTGAAACCAGACCAACACATGCAAGGAAAATCCCCTACCTGCTGTACTATTGCTCCAGCACTGGGAAAGTTTTAGTATTTTTTTTTCTTATGACCTTCAACTGGGCTGGAGCGATAGCACAGCGGATAAGGCGTTTGTTTGCCTTGCACACGGCTGGCCCGGCTGACCCGTGTTTGATTCCTTCGCCTCTCTCGGATTGCCCAGCAAGCAACCGAGAGTATCTCACCAGCATGGCAAAGCCTGGCAAGCTCCCCGTGACATATTCAATATGCGAAAAACAGTAACAAGTCTCACAATTTATTGTGAGACGTTACTGGTGCCCACTCGAGCAAATCGATGAACAATGGGAGGACAGTGCTACAGACTTTGAACTAACTGGGTGCTGCCTACTTGTATGCTTAAGATGTTTCATCACAGTCTACTGACAACACCAGTCACATATGAAATATACCAAAAATACCTTGACAGTTAACATCTAATGTATGGGGTATTTGACCAAACCCCGAGAGTGTAAAATTAGCCATCACAAATGACAATTTTTTTTTGTATAAACAGTTATGAACTACGGATATCAGCTATGAATCCTGAGTTTATATTTAAGGAATCTGTGAGCAGGTGTGTGTTTTCTCTTGTCTAAACTCTTCTAGGGCTCCCAGAAAGGAAGGTCCAGTGGGCGTGTGATTACACAGTACCACTACACGCAGTGGCCTGACATGGGTGTCCCTGAGTACTCACTGCCCGTGCTGACCTTTGTGAGAAAGGCCTCCCATGCCAAGCGCCATGCAGTAGGACCTGTTGTTGTCCATTGCAGGTGAGTCTTTCAGGGATTCGTTATAAACCACAGAATTGACGCTTCTAACAAAAATGAAATCAAAGACTTTTCAAAATGAGAGCAATGTCATGGAGTGAGAGAGGTAAAATAACAAGCTCACTCTCTTGAGTATTAATCATCAGAAAGTGAGTATTCCAGGCTCAGAATTTGATTGAAGAATATTATGCAACACCGGAGGTTTAATTTTTGAAAGATTTGTACTGTCTATTTGATTGTTATTTTGAATCTCTAGTTTTAATTGTGTGAGACAGGAGGAACTATGTTTTTTCATTAAACAACTATTCATTACATTTTTAAAGTCATGGAATAAAACGGCTTGAGACATAACTCTTGTTTCTGGGAGTTGGCAGTCTATTAAAGGGTTATTATATTTGTATTAGAGAAATCAAAGCATGCATACTGTGAGGAATTGCGAGAAATTAAAAAACCCTTCCTCATTGTCTCAACATTTTTCTAATGCTCTGATATTGTCTATGTCATCAATTCACTATTTGTCTCAGTCCTTTAATTTCCAAAATAAGGAGGACGAATAGAAATGATATATCAAAGAAAGAAAAAAATTACCTCAGTTTTACACCCACAAAACTAAAAAATCATTTCTATGTGCAGTATTTTATCGAAGAAGTGCCTGCGTGGTTGCAGAAGTCAAGGGTTTTCTTTGACATGCAGCTTATCTGACACATTCTAATTACCTATATCAGGACTTTTCCTCAGACAAAGTTTGAGAGACCCATCTTGAGTTTTTTTCATGTTAGTCTGACGATAAGCTGAGGGAAACAGGAAGATGCAAGAAAAATAGCTCTGAAGGTCAGAGATTGTTTCTTAGCAAATAGAGAAGGAGCAGGGTATTGTGCGGAGCAGGTGCTAATTTTCCACTCTAGCACTTCCTACTTGTCAGAGCATTTGAAAAGAATCCCTGGCTCTGAATTCTGTCTCTCTGGTAGCTGCTTTGAAGAAGTCTAGAGATAATGGTCCTTTAGAAATGACTGAAGTTATGCTTTATTCCTCACAATCTCACTGCAATGATATTTTCAGCTGAACGTTTTATCAAATTCTTTTCCCCATTAACGTGGAAACCTTTACAAACATGTTTCTCGGCAGTACAGACCCAGGGACCTTTTCTTTTCAGAGTTTGGTGATGCTGAGGCTTTTTTTTTCTTCCAATTAAATGGTTATTTGTTGTGCTCTAACACATAATAATGTCATTGTATATTTTATTGTGAATAATAAATATAGTTGTCAAAAGTATAATAGTCTAGTAGAAAGTAGTTTTGAAGTAGTTTGACCTATAGAGCATTTTTTAACTTATATTTGTAATTTGAAGCATTATGATTAATCATTATACTGCTTATAGTTTTGAGTTAAAATACTTATTTGGCTCATTAATTTGGAGAAGGAGATTTTTTTTAATAGACAAAGAAGCCAGTAGCAACCTATCTTCAAATGTAGAGTATGCTTGACATTGAAATTATTGTTTGTATTTTCTTCAGCGCTGGAGTTGGACGAACAGGCACATATATTGTGCTAGACAGCATGTTACAACAACTTCAACATGAAGGAACTGTCAACATTTTTGGCTTTTTAAAACACATCCGTTCACAGAGAAATTATTTGGTTCAAACTGAGGTATGCCAAACAGATAGTTTTATCTGAAACTTGGAAAAGTCACCCAAATACTAAGGCTACATAAACTTCAGCTTGAATTACCATTTATAAGTCTCATTGGGCTCCTATAATAACATACTTTAGACCAGACAAATAGCTTAAAACAATAGACCTTGATTGTCTTCAGTAAAGTCTAGACACAAGGCCAAATTGTGTTAAGTCAATTAAGTCACATGAAGTATTCCCTCTGTGTCTCTATCCAAATTTGCTTTTTCTGTTACAACACCAGACACTATCTTGTCTTAGCAAATTACATCTGTAACCACACTGTTTACAAATAAGGCCCCACTCTGAGGTTCTGGGAGGCTTCAACTTATATTTTGAGGGATGTGGTTTAACCAGAGAATTGTCAATTCATCATGTATACCAGGTAAATAGTGTCTTTTTATTTTTGGTCTTTTTGGATCAAACTCAGTGATGCTCAAGGGTTACTCCTGCCTTTGCACTCAGGAATCACTCCTGGCAGTGCTCGGGGGACCATATGGGATTCAGGGATCAAACCCGGGTCGGCCACATGCAAAAGGCAAACACCCTACCCACTCTACTATCACTCCAGCCCCAATAATGTCTATTTTGAAGCTAAATGGGGAGTATATCTGATAGGCCAGAGAGAGATTAGATGGTAAGGCGGTTGACTCCTTAGCCAATAAAGGATCCTCTGAGCACTTCCAGGAAGCAATCCTAAGCACAGAGACAGGAATAACTCCTGAACACTGCTGTATGTGACCAAGAGTGCCCGCCCTTATTAAAATTAAAATAAATAACACCGGTAACAGAGAAGATTCGGGAAAAAAGGAGCAAATGATGTTGGTCAACATCATTTTATTTTTAAAAGTCTCAAGTTTCTCCTGTATAAATGTGTGAATCATAATCAAATTACATTCATTTGAGGCACACAAGAGTTTGCCACATAGAGTTTATAGGACATAGGATAAAGTCTGCATATCTGTATGTCACTTTTACCAATTTCTAAATTAAAATGAATTTAGACATTAGAAATGTCAGCTTGAAAGTACCCAGAAACATGACTGAGTGACCTTTAAGTAGAATCAAAGCAAACTTCATTTCTTCAAGGAAATGTCATTCTCATCAGATGTAATCAGATAAAAGGGACAACTACAAAAAACTGTATCATGAGAGAATGTTCCAGTGGTTGAATACACAGCTGCTATGTCCAGAGCCCCAAACTAGATGCCCAGCACCACATGGCTTCCAGATCACCTCAAAGTATGGCCCCAAGGATCCCTGAGCACTTCTGGGTGTGGCCCTAGTAAAACAAAACCATATTGATAATTGTGCCAAATCATAAATGACTGACTAAAAGGAAAACTGCCCATTTGTCCATATGATATGTGGGATTCAGGGAAGTTTTTATGTAAAATGTGGAAACTTTTCAGCCTTGAAGGACAGATGGTGAAAGCATTGTTTTGCTTCCCCAAATCTTCCTTTCTTTTTCCAAAAATACCAATACACAACAAAATCAAGAGGTAAGAAAAAATTTTTAAGTTCTCTTCACCTCCTTTGTTTCTTTTTTTTTCTTTTTGGACCACATCCTACAGTGTGTACATCTTACTCCTGACTATGCTCAGGGATCACTCCGGGCAGTGCTTGGAGGACCATATAGGTTGCCAGAGATTGGACCCAGGTTGGTCATGTGCAAGTTTAGGCACTCTACCCACTGTAACATCTCTCCAGCTCCGCAATCATCTTTCTGGCATCTGACTTCCTATCAAATTAGTCCACATAGCTTATAGGATTTTATCACTTGTTTTGTAAAACTCTGTCAATACAAGTGTTTTCTTTTGGATCTAGATGATATACATAAATATGTATATGTGTGTAGTATATATATGAATAGATGTATATATACACAAACATGTTTGTTTATATATCATATGTACATATTTGTATGTATGTGAATATATGTAAATTGATGTATATATAGAAAAAGGTGACTATATATAAATAAATGCATATATATGTACTATACATATCTATATTTCTTGATTTTGAAGTCATGTCCCTTGTTGTGATTGTGTTTTGCCAGGAACAGTATGTCTTCATTCATGATGCTCTGGTTGAGGCCATTCTTAGTAAAGAAACGGAGGTGCCGGACACTCACATTCACGCCTATGTCAATGCACTCCTCATTCCAGGACCAACAGGCAAAACAAAGCTGGAAAAGCAATTCAAGGTGAGCTCTCCTGACAGTCTCTTGGCTACCTCCACAGAAACGAATTTTCCGGAATCGTTTCTTTTGAGTCAACAGGGCCTTGAGGGTGACTTGAGAGTGCTGTTGGCATAGTGGCTTTGTCCTGTTCTGCACAATAGCTAGCAAAGTCACAGAGTAAATTTCAAGGGAAAAATGAGTTTTGAATCATAGGCAGAAAAGTTCTCAGAAACCCTAGATTAACTTCTATAAAGGCAAACTTGGGCCAGAAAGGAGGGCACGTAGCATAATAGAAGGAACAGGCCAGGCTTATAATATAGATGATATAAGAGTCCTTTTTATTTTGAAAAAAGACAAAACTTCACCAAGAGTGCTATGACTCAGGCTGTCATGCTACTCTTTGTGGTGGGGGAAATTGGTCTCATTTGAAGGCTTTGGACTACAATAGACCACAATGGAACAATAACTTTTTGAACCACAGTTTCTCCCACTTACCTTGTCACAAGGGAATGAACGAGAAAGGAAAACGTTTCCCTTCCTCGCCCACCCATCCCTCGCCCCCAATATTGTAACTTTCTCAAACCAGCTCTCTGTCATCAGTTAGCAAAAATAACAGAAAGCAAAGAATTTAGAGAGCTTTTTTGGAACCAGCCACTGAGTGAGAGGGAGTAACAGAGTGGCTTTCCAGCCAAATGAAGGCAATGTTCTTTTGCTCCACATTATTTCTGACATTAACCTCTTAGAATCCCCAGGATCCCAAAGAAGCAGGGTCTATACTGCAGTAAGATTGTATGGCAAGAATTTGAAGCAGCCTAGAAAAACCCAGCAGTGTTAACAACTTTGAAATTGCAAGCTTCTCCTCCACACTATTTTTTCCATTTTTACTATAACATAGAATATTAATCTTTGTGGGTCCCCTCCCATATCTTTGCCTTCTCAGCCAACAGCTTTGTGCTTTGGAGGGAGTAAGATAAATATGAATGATAAATGGGGAATTTAAAGCCTGCCAACAGGAAGACATAAATTTTATACTCAGCCATGCTGCTTACATCATAAAGGAACTCTTTAAGGGAAGAATGTGTGGTTTGAATTCTAGAAACAGATAGTAAATATAAACCATTAATATTAGACTAGTAGGACAACTTTCCCCAAAGATATTTTCAATAATTTATATATATTTGAATAATTTACATATAAATTTTGAATGATTTTATCTATAATTTTAATAATCTATGTAGAATTTTTCAATAATTACATAAAATTTTCAGTAGAGTTACTACTCTCCCAAATCTCCCAAGTTCTCATGATCCTCCACTGCTGTCCCTCCCCTTCTTTCCCTCTACTGTTATATTATTGGTTCTATATTCCAAGACCAAAAATTTATTGAAGCAATTTTCACAAACAAGTCAAATATATTTCTGTTAAGCCTCATACCTTGGGTCATGTATATGCATCTGAGTGTTTGAGTATTCGAGCGACTTACATGGAATAATCTGTCCTTTCCCCCTCCTTTTCTCAGCTCCTGAGTCAATCAAATATACAACAGAGTGACTACTCGACAGCACTGAAGCAGTGCAACAGGGAAAAGAACAGAACTTCTTCCATCATCCCTGGTAGGTCAGGCTGAGTCTTGTGGAAAAAACAAATCTTTTCCTAATTGTAAGGAGGCCTCCTAAGCAGTGCACAAACAACTCAGAGGCCAGTCTAGGCAACACTCAGCCCTCAGTCCAGTGAGGTTCTTTGGGATCACAGAGCCACTTCAACCATGCTTGGTGGGGCCATGTTGTGCCAGAAATTAAACCTAACACATGCAAGCCTTGTGCTCCAGCACCTTATGCTACCTCCCCACCCTCCCAAACATTCGTTTTGTTTGTTTGTTTAAGGGGCATAACCTGCAGTACTCAGAGTCTAATTCCAATTCAGTACTTGGGGATCATTAATTGTGATGCTCAAGGAACCATGGGGTGACAGTAATTGAACCAGTGTCTCCTGAAATCCATACCACTCTGTTGAGCTCTCTCAGTCCCCCAAAGACCTTTGCTCATTAGAAATCCTGGGGACAATCTGACAGTATTTGTACATCTTGGAACATAAGCAGTACTGCACTCTGACATTTTGTAAATTATGACTGAAATGTGACCATTTAAAAGAACCCTTAAACCACAATGGTTTGTTTTTAAATATGCAAAATATGTATGAAATAGTAGGCTTAGGATCAAAGATGTTCAACTTGAGACATCAGTTTGAGGGGAGGAGGGAATGGGGGGCAGTCTGTACACATGATTATTTACAATGAATGTTCTATGATGTGTTCCAGTGGAAAGATCAAGAGTTGGCATTTCATCTTTGAGTGGGGAAGGCACGGACTACATCAATGCCTCCTATATCATGGTATGTCCAAGGAGTCACTGAGAAATCTGCCCACCACCGTGTTACCAGAAACAAAGGAAGAATTGGCTGCTGGAAGTAGTAGCTGAGGATGTGGGGAGCACCATACAAAACATACAATCTCAGAAGATCCGTTTCATTTCCTAAGGTTGACACATCAGCTTCAACATGCCCAGATTAACTGACTTTGCCATTTCAGACATGACCTACAGTTCTCACCCAGCAAACTGCGTTCACCTGGGGATCTGGATTTCTAAAGATATAATACCTTTCTTCTGTACTACGTTTTCTGTGGGAGGGTGAATTCTTTTGTCACTGCTGTGTTTTGCGTCAACCAATCATGGTGTATGACTTTAGATGTACAGGTTCTAATTTCTAGGCCAAAAGAACTTCATTCTTCTAATCCAGAAAGAGTATCTATAGAAGAAACTGAAAGGGGCTGGAGTGATAGCACAGTGGGCAGGGTGTTTGCCTTGCACACGGCCGACCCGGGTTTGATTCCCAGCATCCCATGTGGTCCCCTGAGCACTGCCAGGAGTGATTCCTGAGTGCAAAACCAGGAGTAAATCCTGAGCATTGCCAGGTGTGACCTGAAAAGCAAAAAAAAAAAAAGAAGAAACTGAAAGACTTAAGATGGTGTCATCTAAAAATACGCATCACTTCAATTGAGTTTACAGAGGATAGGAAAGAACTGAATGACCCTAGGGCAAAGGAGATAACTTAGTCCTGATTTCAGTAAGCAGTAAGATGGAAATCATCATTATTTCAATGGTCCCAACTTCCAGGTTTCTGAAACAAATCTGCAAGTTTCATCCCGAAACTTCTGTAGAGGTGGGAGGGGTCTAGACACCCAAGGTGTTCAATTGGCAATAGGTGTTCACTTTGGCACTCTGCTATCAGGAGACATAGAAAGTGAAAAATACAGTTCTCCTCTATATGTCCACACCCTGTAGAGAAGAAGACATGTCCACATTCCATTTTGGCCAACCTAAGAGAGCTGCTAGATACGTAAACTTGGGCACAACACTTAATTTTTCAATTTTCAGTTTTATCATCTGAAAATTACATTCTCACAGTACTATTGAGAGGAATAAATGATGGAAGGCCAAGTCTATGTTGTATCTGGTGTATAGAAAGTATCCCATAACACTCCTATAGTCATCACGTTGTTATTTATAGACATAACCTAAAGATACTGCTGGCTTATGGGTCATTTATTTCTAAATGTTTTTTCAGTGTTTGAAGTCATACATCAGGGATCTGTTCTCTATTCTCTTGGTTTTGTAGGGCTATTATCAGAGCAATGAATTCATCATAACCCAGCATCCCCTTCTCCATACCATCAAAGATTTCTGGAGGATGATATGGGACCATAATGCCCAGTTGGTAGTTATGCTTCCTGATGGTCAAAACATGGTAAGTCCCTCGGATCATCTATGTTACTTTCCTTATAGCAGAAAGTAAAAAAAAAAAGTTTTTTTAGTAGAAAGCTCTTCATGTAAACTAATAAAAAATATATGTCAGCTAATAAGATAATGTCATTAGCGTTAGATCTTGATTTGACTTAGAATGTCAGTAAAAGATAAAAGTAGGTTTAAATTAATAAATTTCTGTGTCTTGTGCAACTGCATAAGGAAAAATGATGGCCCAGAGAGATAGTTCAAAGAGCTAGAATGCAGATTTTATGTGTTAGAGACACAGATTCTACCCTCAACAGTTCCTGGTTCCCATGCATCACTAGGAGTAGCATCACTAGGTGGGCCCAAACTCACCCTTCAAATAAGGAAAGAAAAATCAGATTTTAAATCATGAATGAGAGTCGAACTTTATGTCTCTGTTTACTTTTTTTTAAAAAAAATAAAACTTAAATTTTTTGGTGTGGCGGTGCACCCAAGGATTGCTCACCCCTGGCAGTATCTACCAACCATGCTGAATAATTCAGTGCCAGGAACTGGTGATGTTGGGCTACACCCTGACTGGGTATCACCACGGTCATGCTGATACTGCTTGGGGGCCTCCTGGACCACTGCCCTGAACTTGGAAGTATCAGGAATCAAAATTAGACCCTGACCCATTTCCCTGATCCCCAGAACATCGTTAAAGATTTCTTTTGTGCAGTAGGGCATTTGCCTTGCATGCGGCCTGCCCCGCCAACCCGCGTTTGATTCCTCTGCCCCTCGCTGGAGAGCCCAGCAAGCTACTGAGAGTATCCCGCCCACATAGCAAAGCCTGGCAAGCTCCCCATGACATATTCGATATGCCAAGCACAGTAACGTCGCACAACGGAGACATTACTGGGCCTGCTCGAGCAAATTGATGAACAACAAGAGGACAGTACAGTGCAGTGCAGTTTGATTATAAGCTTTATTTGGGGTTTTATTTCTTGTTTGTCAAGTTACACTGAGTATTCCAACACTGTATCACTGTCCTCCCATTGTTCATCGATTTGCTCGAGCGGGCCCAGTAACGTCTTCATCAAGAGACTTGCTGTTACTGTGTTTGGCATATCCAATACCTCACGGTTAGCTTGCCAGGCTTTGCCATGCGGGGAGTATTCTAAAAGGCACTGAAAATTACTAAGATCTTTTCACAGTTGAATTTCTCTACTGGGTTAACAACTTTCCATTGTTAATGATAAATTATGGAAATAAACAAGCACTTACTTGGTTTCTTTTTCTTTTCTTAATTTAACATGATTAAGGTCATGTATTTCCAATGATGTTGACCTTTATGGACTTGGCATCTCTAGTCATCTCACCACCACCAGAGGACCCAAAACTTCCCCGCCGTGTTCCTGTGTTACTCCCATCCACCTATTTGCCCTATAATCTGGAGTTTTCCATTTGTACCCCAGTGCCCAGAATTTGTTGTTAGTTCATGTCTATTCCCTTGTGTTTCCCTGTACACACACATGAGGAACATCATCCTGTGCTGCTTTTTCTCACTCTGGTCCATTTCTCTTAATAGGATAGCACAGCGGTAGGGTGTTTGCCTTGCACGCAGCCAACATGGCCGACCCGAGTTCGATTCCTCCGCCCATCTCGGAGAGCCCGGCAAGCTACCAAGAGTCTCTCGCCCGCAAGGCAGAGCCTGGCAAGCTCCCCATGACGTATTCGATATGCCAAACACAGTAACAACAAAGTCTCCAATGGAGACGTTACTGGGCCCGCTCGAGCAAATCGACGAACAACGGGAGGGCCTTTACCTTTACCTTACCTTAACTTACCATCCCAGTTGCAACAAAATGCAAGATTTCATTTTTCCTTACAGTTTCATTGTATTTCATTGTGGATATATAATAACTTCTTTATCAATTCATCTATAATACTGGACATTAGTGCTGCTTCTCTATTTTGGTTATTTTATTATAGCTTTGTTTATTTTATTGTATGTGGGAGGGGAAGGTTGGGTCACACCTGGTGGTGCTCAGGACTTATTCCTGGTTCTGTACTCAGAGCTCACACCTGGTGAGCTTGAGGGGCCACTGTGGATGCCAGGGAGTGAACATGGATTGGGTACATTCAAAGCAAGCATGCTGTGCACTGTACTATCACTCTGGCCACAAAGATAGCTTATTTTCTTAAGTGTAGGAATTTATCCTACACATCAATATGGCTTTAGACTCATGATTTTAAGGGGAAATTTTGAGTTTCAAAGAGAAATTTAACTGACAATTAGCTTACTTCACAGTCTGACATATGTTTTATTGAATTCTATAATCTTTGTGTTTTAATTCCCCAGGCAGAAGATGAATTTGTTTACTGGCCAAATAAAGATGAGCCTATAAATTGTGAGACTTTTAAAGTCACTCTTATGACCGAAGAACACAAATGTCTTTCTAATGAAGAAAAACTTATAATTCAAGATTTTATCTTAGAAGCTACACAGGTAAGGTCTTAAACACGTTAACTATGCACGAATTCAGGGAACTCTCCTACATATTTTTTAAAAGTTCTATTATTTCTTCTAAATTGCATATTACCCAGATAATCCATTTTTACCTTATTCATAGCTTTTACTTTCAAAATTTTACAGAGAAGCTGGAGCGATAGTACAGTGGGTAGGGCATTTACCTTACATGCTGCCGGCCCATGTTCAGTCCCCGGCATCCCATATGGTCTCCCAAGTATCGCCAGGAGGAATTCCTGAGTGCAAAACCAGAAGTAATCCCTGAGCATCGCTGAGTGTGACCCAAAAAGTAAAAAAAAAAAATTCTTACAGAATCAGGTGAGAATATAGTGCAGTGGTTAGGACATGTCTAGCTGGCACCAACCCAGATTTTATCTCTAACACCACCTGCTCCCTGAGGTGCAGTCTCTGATGCAGCCCTGGTGCAGTCCCAGAGGACCTGAAGCATCTCCAATATCACATCCTCAGATCCTTTATTGAACCAGCAGCCCATTTGATTGAGAATCCTTGGTGGGGCCTCTGGGCATCTTGAGCATTGTTTTGGGGTCTGGGGCAATAGATAAGAGGACTGAAACAAACTTTTTGCATATGGGAGACCCAGGTTCTATCCTCAGCATTACATGGTCCCTCGCATTCACTGCTAAAAACAAAAATAGAGAATACATGATGACAGCCAGAACTAGAAACTAATGTTGAACCTAGATCTCCACCCATTTACAGCATGTTATCCACTATGTCTTGCAATTTCTTTCTTCCCTTGGTTACTATTGAGTCATGCTGATATTTGAAGGCATCTATGCTATTTTCATGACACATTTCAATATTGACGATACCTTATAGTTAGCTTGAATTTAGCAATTCGGATTCCTCTTTGGTCTATATATTTATGGTCTGATTGGCAGAACAAACCTAAACACAAGACTTATTTGGAAAGCTGTTAAATAAGGATTGCATCATCCTCCATCTACCTATGCTGCTCACTTTTTCTTGGTTTTATTACTTATCTGTAATTACTGAGTTTTTCCCAATTACTATACTTATAACAAACCATCCCTCACCAATATGACTCTTTAAAAATCCTTTTTCTCCTTTTCTATTAGGATGACTATGTACTTGAAGTGAGGCATTTTCAGTGTCCCAAATGGCCCAATCCAGATAGCCCTATTAGTAAAACTTTTGAACTTATAAGTATTATTAAAGAAGAAGCTGCCAGCAGGGATGGACCGATGATTGTTCATGATGAGTAAGTTCCATACTTTCAACCATTTCTTGCCTGAGCACTCTCAATTTATGTAGATTTCTATTATCTTTATATTATTAGAAAACATTGAACCAATTGTGATGGTTCTGTCAGACTGAATTATTTTCTTCTGACAAGGTTAACAGAACAGTTTTTCTCCTTCTCTTGGAGTCTCTATTTAGTCCCAAAGATTAGGCATCATTGCAACGTGAGCTTTGCATTATCTGCTGAGAACACTTTGCATGGTGGGTTAGTGTCACTTGAATTTTTCCAGCTGTAACCAGAGATACATATCTCAACTACTACTTTCTGAAAAAGGAGTAAAATTGAGATACTTTTACTGGAAATAGAAATTTATATCCACTAATTCATTTCATACTTCTACTATGAACTAATTAAAATGTAAACTGGATTTATAGATGTACGATATATGATGAATATTATATCACATATGATGTAACCTCAGTCAGCTCATTTTGATTTATTATTAATCTCTTTCATCATATTAAAATCACTAATGTGGGGGCAGAGAGGCAGAACAGTGGTTAAGGCATAAGTATTACATGTGGCTGATTCTGAATTTGTACCCAGCAGCAATGGTCTCCCAAGCTTCACTGAGTGTAAACCTGGGGGGTCCCCAAGTGTCACTGGGGTGTTCTAGGTGACTCCCAGCATCACAAGTATTGAGGAGCCCCATGTTCCCAGGCCTTTGCATTAAATCACCAGTATGAGGGCCGGAGTGATAGTACAGAGGGTAAGGCATTTGCCTTACATGTGGCTGACCCAGGTTCGATTCCCAGCATCCCATATGATCCCCTAAGCACTCCCAGGAGTAATTCCTGAGTGCAAAGCAAGGAGTAACCCCTGTGCATTGTCAGGTGTGACCCCCCCCCCAAAAAAAAAACCACCAGTCTGGTTTCCTGAGAATCACTAGGAGGTTACCCTGAGCTATCTGAGAACCACTTGGAAGCCTCTTCCCTAGAAAAGTAACAACTGTATATGTAAAATTATACTTCTATAAAGTATCCTGTTACTAGTAACATGAGCACTGGTTAATGTCTCAAATCAAACCACAGTCTTATACACAAAAGAGAAGTGATACATTTTAAAATGTCAGTGTACAAGATAGTACAAAGTGTAAGGCACCACCCCATATAGGTCAGAGCAAAGAGCCAGGAATAAGCCTTAAGAATGGTTGGGTATGGCCAACAACTTACACACACACACACACACACACACACACACACACACACACACAATTCTTACTACAAAGTGTTTAAGCAGTAAAGCTACATGTTCTGGAAGCTCCAAGTGTGAATGTTTGCAGCCTCTGAATGGAATCTTCCTCCTTCCCCTTTGTTTCAAGACATGGAGGAGTGACTGCGGGAACTTTCTGTGCTCTGACAACCCTTATGCACCAACTAGAAAAAGAAAATTCTATGGATGTGTACCAGGTAGCCAAGATGATCAATTTGATGAGGCCAGGAGTCTTTGCTGACATTGTAAGTAACAAGAAGTGAGCCAAACTCTTTTCTTTTAGAATACTACTATTATTCTAGAGGATACCAAATTAATTGGGCTGGAGCAATAGCACAGCAGGTAGGGCGTTTGCCTTGCATGCTAGTCGACCTGGGTTTGATGCTTCCGCCCCTCTCAGAGAGCCCAGCAAGCTACTGAAATTATCTCACTAGCACAGCAAAGCCTGGCAAGCTACCCATGATGTATTCAATATGTCAAACATAGTAACAACAAATCTCACAATGGAGATTACTGGGCCCACTCCAAATAGATGAACAATGGGAGAACAGTGCTACAGTGCTACCAAATTAATTGTATCATGCACTCAAAAACAGTTATCAGCTATTAACTGTTGTTGCAATTTTCAAGCTAAATGACAAGATTCCCCCCCCTCCCCCGCAACTCATAGAACTTGAACAATAAACAGTCAAAATTTATCTTCAAAAATTGTTAAGAGCTTTTAAATTTAATGTGTACTAAAATATATCTTCAGTAGAAACACCATGTTATCTGACATAATCCAATAATATCAATAGTTATTCACTGTACCATGGTGGTGGGAAACGGGCACTGGTGGAGGGATGGGTATTTGATCATTGTATAATTGAAACCCAAGCACAAAAATTTGTAAGTCTGCAACTGTACCTCATGATGTCTCACAAAAAAAATAGTTATTCACTCTAGCCCTGGAGAATAATCATAAGACTGAGTTCAAAGACCTATATTCACTTTTTTTTCCAAAACAGTTCAATTTCTGAAGTTAACAAATCATTAATATGAGAGTACTTTATTAAGAGAGAGGGATTTATACAATCAAGAGTACAAGCACATCTGGAGAGATAAAAAGTCATGAAAATAACTAGAAGGATTCTTTTTATTGCAGAATCAAAGTCTAGAAAGAAAACAAAAACTTAGTTCAAATATCCCCATGAGAAAAGTTTCAGTAGATGCTGTAGTTGGAGGATCACCTCCAAGTGTCCTGTTCTGTGTGTATGGGAATCTTATACAATATCTATCTTCAAAGCTCTAGCCAGGGCCAGCTGGCCAGAATGCAAACATGCACTTTATGTGACACGTTCTGTCTCAGAACATTTACATTTTGCAGGCACCCCTGCTAAATGTCTCATTCAGACCAGTTGAGTTGTATCAAGCTTGTGCTTTATGAAACTGAGTTCTAGAGACTGAACTTTTACCCAGTTCATAGATGCTTTTAATACTGCTGGGTTCACCTGTGTCCAAATGACTTAAATTAGTAGCTCATTTTCTCAGCAACTACCTTCCCCACTCAAAACAGGCCAAACTGTAAGGGCAAAAAAAAATCTTGTGTTTCTACTCCGAAAACATAGCAAAGCCACATGCTTTTGTTTACTCAAGGCAAAGCACATGACAAAACTCATCAGCCTGGTAGAAAGTGAAATATGCTTGGTAAAAAGATCTGGAAGAAAGCCTGCATTCTGCCTGAGTCTCAGTGCAGTTCCTGCAGTTCTTCCTGAGACATTTCCTGAATGAGACAAACACAGTGGATTTCCCAACCTGAGACAGGAGAATGACAACTTGAGAAATGACAACTTGGGAGAGTGAGGTTACAGGTACTTAACCCTGAGAGGCTGATAAATTGGTAACAGAATTCTTCACGATCACCTTCTCATCCTATGAAATAAATAATAAGAATGAAATCGTTATGACTGGCGAATATATATGGACCAATTTTCTAGGTCCATGAATCTTGACTGATAGAAAGTTACTTTTAATTTAATGAAAAAAAAAAAAAGCTCTTACTATGGATTGTAAGTGTCCACAGAGATGACACATTCCCACTATGCCCTCCACAAAACAGTACTGCAGTGTGACTGAAAAATAGTTCTCTTTGTCTTCACTGAACTTCCTGTGTATAACCTGCCATTCTGTGTTCTCTAGGAGCAGTATCAGTTTCTCTATAAAGCGGTCCTCAGCCTGGTGAGTACAAGGCAAGAAGAGAATCCATCCACCTCTCTGGACAGTAATGGCGCAGCGTTGCCTGATGGAAATATAGCTGAAAGCCTAGAATCTTTAGTTTAACACCACAAGGGTACAGGGGAGTCTATATCTGAACATTGTTTTCCTCTTCCAGAAATTAGACTGCAAAGTCAGTTCAGTTCTTCTGTTATGTTTACTTCTCATCATCTGACTGTAACTTTCAGACCTAGAATTCTGCTGCCAAATTGACATCATTAACAATGTGTGCCTTTTTGAAAAACTTCTTGTAATTTACTTTTTGTGTTTAAACTAAAGGAATAGAATTTTACAGTGTTTCTTAAAAAATGGAATTGTGATATTTTTTTCATAGTGGTTTTAACAGAACGTTACAATTTATAGGTGTTAGGACTTCCAAATAGAAAATGTGTTTGTTTTTAGTGTTAGATTTTTAGTTGTATTTGTAACCATCATTGGGTTTGCTATAACTTTTAATAAGGTAGATTGTAAATAAAATGCTTTGTTCCCTATAATAGTCAACATTTTACAACTGCAGTATTCACTTAAAATAGATATAATCTCATACTGTAAATACTGATATAGTGTCTTTGTGGACCAAATTTATATTTATAATTGTAGATTTTTATACTTTACTACTGAGTCAATTTTCTAGTTCTGTGTTGTAGTTTAATGGTGTAGTTACCTTTCTCTTACACCTCAAATCTTCTGATATTGTTTTTTGTTATCTCAGTGATTAAATGTTTTGACATGTAATTTTAACTATGGAAAATAGAAAAATATATTTGTTTTAAAGATGTTTATGAGAATAACACCTTCCTTACCCAACCTTCTAAAAATAATTTTTATCAAATCATTGTAAAAATAAATATAAATATTGCCATCATTTGTGTTGAATTATGAAATGCAATACTGGGGCATATATAGCAGAAAACTGGACAGCAGTTATCCCTGGGATAAAGGAGCAAAATATGGTTCACAACATCAGGCAGTGTAGAAAGTTGAAACTCCCCAAATGTGTGTGGAAGTACAACAGGGAATTCCTACAATTTTATGTCTTTGAAAAGCACTGTATATAACATTACACGACTACTCCTGTTTTTATTGGGATTATTTTTCTGAGTATATCTTTTATGTGGTTCTTATTTGTGGTCTATATACATTTTTACATATTTAAAAATAAAAAACAAAATTAAAAAATAGCTTTACAGCAGTATACCCTTCTATTACATATCTTAATTATAATTTCCATTTAGTCTAAAAGTAAAACTTAATTTTACAGTTATTTGAGTTAATTCAGGACTTTTGAGTTCTACTTGTAAAATTTTTTAGACTATATAGGATATATAAAATATATAAAATAATAATATTATAGAACTAGGAACCAGATGTTTAGTGTAAGAAAAATAGCATACAAATGTATAATTATAAAGTTTTTAAAAATGTTTGGAACTAAAGATATAGTACGGGCTGATTGCCTTGCATGTAACCCACCCCAGTCCAGTCCCCAGCACCCTACATGATCTGCCGAGCATTGCCAGAAGTGATCCCTGATCATAGAACCAGGACATCCTGAGCACCACCACTCATTGTCCCCTTCAAATCTAATTGATCTGTAAATCAAGCAGTACAACAGGTAGAAAGAAAGCCTACACAGAAGAGAAAGAGTTAATATATCTAAAAAGATTAAATTCAGAATATATATAGAACTCCTAAAACCTAATAGCAACAACAACATAAAAAGGTACCCTGATTTTTAGTTTGTTTATTTGGTTTAGGGGCCATCCTTGGCAGTGCTCAGGGTTTGCTCCTGGACCTGTGTATACGGGTCAATTCTGGCAGTGCTCTGAGGACCACACAGGGTTCTGGAACCAAACCAGGGTCAATTGCAAGCACTGTACTATCTCTCCAGCCCTAACCAGCCCAAATTACTTGTTTTTTTTTTTTAATATTGTGTACAATACTATAATAATGGTTTCTCAAGGACATAATTCCAACACCACACCCATCACTAGTATAATTGTGTTTCTCCCCAAAGGACTCCATACCCCCTCCTTTTCAGCCCCCACAACCCATTTGTATGGATCAGTTCTTCCATTTTGTTGATTTCAGATATTTTCACTACCTCACTGTGTATCTTTAAGTCCCTCTTGAGAAACCATTCTGCATCTGTCCCTTTCCTTCTGACTGATGCACTCAGCATGATACCCTCTAATTCTCTCCATGGTTTTGCAAATTATGTGATTTCATTCTTTCTGTGAAGTATCTTATCGTATATAGTTGTGGTAATGATATTAAATATATATATTTATATATCTCTATACACACATATCACAACTTTCCAATCCATTCATATATAATTGGGCACTTGGATTGTTTCCATATATTGGCTATTATGCTAAAGTGAAGCTAATATACAAATCACAGAACATAGGTATGCATATATCCTTTCGAATTAATATTTTTGTATTTGGAAGATAAATGCCAAGAAGTGGTATTGCTTATCCTATGGGAGTTCTATTCTTTTTTTAAAGAAATATCAATATTGCTTTCCATAGAGGTTGAACTGGATGTCATTCCCAGAAACAGTGGATGAGGGCTCCTTTCTCACCGCAACCCCACTAATACTGCTATTTCCAGACTTTTTAATATGTGCCACTTTCACAGGCATGAGATGGTATCTCATTGGACAACTACTACTGTTCAGCTATTTGGATCAAACTAAGACATTATCACCTGAACCATTATGTATTTATTTGGCATCATAGGAGGTGTGAGAATGTTACTGCAATATTACTGTTAACAGAACCATTCTACCAGGAAATCTTGAAAAACTTTTATCTGGATCAAGGTGAGAGTTACAAACAGATTTGTTGTTAGGGACAAACTATGCAGAAGACTGATATAAACAAGAACCCAGGAGGTCAAAAACCCTGGGGTGAAAAAATTATATAAAATGTTCATTATTATGGTTAATGGTCATAATCCAAGAATTGTTCAACTGAAATTATTAAAACGTGGAATCATCGGTAATAAGATAACTTTGACACTAGAAAGCCATACCTGCCTCTTATGAGTGGGTTTTACAACATTCCCTGAGGAGCAGTGAATCAAACTCTATGAATGCCCGGATCAATAGTAAAGTAAGTAATCAATAGAGTAAATGTTAAATTTAGGGTAAATAGGTAGGGTTAAGCCTAGGCTAGGGCAAGGGTTAGTATTAGGGTTTTGGTTCAGGTGAGAGTTAGGCTTTAGTTTGGCTGTGGTTGAAGTAGAAAGTGAAAGTTAGGAAGAATGTTAAGATTAGCTTAACTGAAAGGATTGAGTAATGATTCGTCTAACAATTAGAATTAGGACACAGGTTAGGTTTAGAGTTTACATTTGACTGTGGTTAAAGCACAAAATGAAAGTTAGAATTAGGATGAATGTTAAATTTAGAGCAATTGGAAGGTTATGCCTATGCTAGGTCAAGTTACAGTATTGGGGACAGGGTTAAGGTATTATTGTCATTATGGTTAAAGTTGAAAATGAAAGTTAGAGATAGATGAATGCTTAAGAGTAGTTAGAGGGTTAGGTCTGGCCTTGAGTAAGGCTGAGTAATAGGTTTAAGGATTTTGGTTTAAGTTTGGCAATGGTCAAAGTTTAAAATGAAAGACTTAGAGTAAATACTAAATTTAGGTAATCACTAGGTCAAGGTCCAGGTTAGCTTAAGGGTTAGAATTGGGGCTAGGGTTAAGATTCACATTAGAGTTCAAGTTTAGGTTTGATTATGGTCAAAACTGGAAATAAATGAGGATTCGGTGAATACTAAATTTAGGGTAATTGGTAAGTTTTGAAAAGGGTTATGATTTAGGTTAAGTTTCAGGGTAGAGAGGGTTAGGTTTTAGGAAAGAAAAATGAAAGGAACGCTTTGCTTAGCTCATGATCAAAAACAGGTGGTAAGATAAGTTTTGTTAAAATCAGAATACAGTTATCCAGTCATTCCATCAGCAAAACCTGGCAATTTATTATAAATGCAATCCCTATCTTCCCATCTTGGACCCGCCATACCCAAAACTCTGGGGTTTTAACAATCTAATATATGCTGCAGTTCGAGAAACACAACCCTACAGCAAATCTGAGAGCCTATTCAGTTTCCAAGAAATACCAGGAAATTTGATTTCACTGAATTTCATTTCATTTCATCAAGTCACTAAAATAGGACAAAAATTAATTACATTTTTAGCTTTTCTTTTAAAGCAATATTCTTGAAGAAATATGAACTAGAGAAAAGTCCAAGTGGCAGAGTGTCACAAATCACAAATCAATTGTTGGTAAACAGGATAGAAAAATATAATAAGTTTTAATGAATTAAATGTGATTTTTTAACAATTTAATGTACTGGGAAGAAAGGTCACTTGATTAGTCTGGATTGCTTCGTTGCTTTTCTAACATTATCCCATATTCTGGCTTTTCAATCCCCCCCCCATAAACCACGTTAATCATACAATGATATGGGCCAGACCACATAATTGTCACCTTACTTATTTTGTCTATTTTTTCCCTAGCCTTTGTTCCAGGAACAAATTATATTTATGGGATATGAGAAATTTTTTCTTCATAGTTATTTATGGATGAATTACCTTGCAAGTTCTCTTTCAAGAGAAAAGAACATAAATGATAATGAGTCTGTTGTAGATAAATTCTAATAAATATATCCCGAAACTCCTTTAAGATATACAATTATGGTCAGCATAACAACCTTTCCTTATTTCTTGACCTTATTCTTTTTTTTTTAATTAATTAATTTATTTATTTATTTTTTAATAGTGAGGCACCATGAGGTACAGTTGTAGACTTACACATTTTTGTGCTTGGGTTTCGATTATACAATGATCAAACACCCATCCCTCCACCAGTGCGCATTTCCCACCAACTCGGATCCCAGCATCCCCTCCCCCCCCAGCCCCTATCCCACCCTGCCTCTGTGGCAGGGCATTTCCCTCTCTCTCCTCAAAAGGAGAGAGTGCCATGGTCAAAAGTGCCATGGTCAGCAAAAGAGGCATTGAGTGGCAATCATGCTTGGTCGACAGTCTATCCTCAGCATGCTCTCCCATCATGGGCGGATCCTCCCAACACCCTTTATTTGGTGCTCCCTTCTCTTTCTGAGCTCCCCCTTCCCCTAACATGTGTGGTTGTCCTCCGGGTCATTGAGTAAAATTCCTGGTACTAATCTCTGCCATACTTGGGTGTTAGTTTCATATTTTGTTACTTTATGTTCCCCAGATGAATGCAATCTTTCTATGTCTATCCCTTTCTTTCTGAGTCATTTCGCTTAACATGATACTTTCCATGTAGTACCACTTGTATGTAAACTTCATGACTTCGTCTTTCCTAACAGCTACATAGTACTCCATTGTGTAAATGTGCCAGAGTTTCTTCAACCAGTCATCTGTTCTCGGGCACTCAGGTTTTTTCCAGATTCTGGCTATTGTAAAGAGTGCTGCAATAAACAGACAATTGCAGATGTCACTTCGGCTATACTTTTTTGCCTCTCTGGGATATATTCCCAGGAGTGGTATTGCTGGGTCAAATGGGAGCTCAATTTTTAGTTTTTTGAGAATCATCCATACTGCTTTCCAGAAGGGCTGAACCAGTCGGCATTCCCACCAACAGTGAAGGAGTGTCCCTTTCTCACCACATCCGTGCCAGCACCGGTTGCTTTTGTTCTTGTGGATATGGGCCAGTCTCTGTGGTGTGAGGTGATACCTCATTGTGGTTTTGATCTGCATCTCCCTGATGATTAATGATGTGGAACATTTTCTCATGTATCTTTTAGCCATTCGGATTTCTTCTTTGTCAAAATTTCTATTCATTTCATCTCCCCATTTTTTGATGGGGTTGAAT